CATTTATTTCGCTCACTGTAGTAGACTGTTCCAGTTCCACGTGCCATGTCTAATGGATGTCAGTTACCTCCTGTTAATTCCCCTCTGAAAGTTCTCCACTGACTTAACCAGGTATTGAACTCACACAATTTGGGTCCTTCCAACCATCTGAAGAACGCCTTTACCCACAACGGCCGAAACGTTGTGAGAAACATGGCGCCAAAGATGAGGACAATAGTCCGAATAATGTAAATACTGTACATAATGCCTTATCTCAGAAATATAGACAGATAGCAAACGAGACAGTTTACAAAAGAAAGCATTAAACGCAATAGTCGCTTATCGTAATGAGACTGGACACAATTTTGACATAAAATTGTCTACTCTGATTAAAAAGAGAAAATAATTCCGTAAGACCAAAATGTTTAGAAAATACTTTAAACGCTAGTTCATCCACGGTAAATTTTCGTACAGTTTTTTACACGCTTCGCCATTCTTGGTTGATCCTCTGTTATCACAATGAGGAATATTTAATAACAAAATGATGGAAAGAAAAAGAAAAGGCTAAAGCTAATTTTTCGTTTGAAAGGAAGAGAAAGGAAGACAGAAGATGAAAAAGGAAGACAGAAGATGACAATCTTAGGTTTGAGAATAGAAGAAACAAGATAGAGGAAGAAGAAGCAATGTAAGCAAAGGAAGAAGAAGAAAAAAATAAGAAAAAAGATGAAGAGTTTTTTAATCTAATCATACATGAGAAAGAGGAAAGACTTAGGAAAGACAGAATCTGAAAAAAAAATAATACTGAAAGAGAAAAAGAATCAAAATTGAAAGCTAGATTTCTTTAGCTTCATTATACAAGAAAAAAGAACAGAAAGGCGACGTCTGAAGACAATTTTTCATTTGAGAATAGAAATAAATACTGAAAGTTAGATTTAATTAAAAGATTTGTGTATTGATGACTCATTGAAATCAAATTAGTTCATAAAATCTCCTCTTCGTTTACTGAACGACAAAATGACCGACGAGAAGAGAAACACGAGAAAACTCAGTATAAAAAAAGAACCAATAAAATCGTTACCATTGTTTCGTAAGAAGGACCAACGTAATGAGGATGTTTTACTACACTATAATGAATTCTTTTATTTTGAGCTGTAGAATGAGAAAAAAAAAACACAACAACAAAGTAAATTAGATGTTGATGAAAGATCAAAAGATCTCAACTAAATTGCTCGAGTATATTATTATATAAAAATTATTTTTTGTTTTATTTTATTGTTCGCGTAGGTTAGCTTGCATTTTATCAGGGGCAACATTTTCTTTCTCATCAAACAATTTTTGTGGCGGAAAGTGAACGACCGGCTTTTTAATCTGTTATTCTGATGGTGACAAGAATCGGTTCTTTCAGAATTTTTCTTGTTTGGGTACGCTTTTTATTACAATATTTTTTTAAAGTGACTCATTGTTATGAAAGAACAAATCATACCTGATTAACGCTAAAGACTTTCTTTTTAGATAGGCACAGCGGAGAAAAAAATAACCAAGAACAACTAAATTCATTAAATATGTTTTTATACCAATCCTAGTGAATAAATCTTGCGATAGTCTAACAAAGACTTGCGTATGAGATATTTTATTAGATATTTTTTTGTGACGAAGAAAAGATTTCCTAATTTCTAACTTCAGCTTAAGACTCTATTTATAGTACCAGACGCTTCGGTAAATTGAGTTATTGCTCCACCAATCATCTGATTTCGAAATTGTGACAGCATTTGGGGCAATACCTTTAAACAATTGTAAGTAGACATGCAAAAATTTTGGAAGAATTCCTTGTTTGACACTTCCGCAGCTGTAGACGAACAAATATTTTCTTTACGAAATTAACATTGCAGCCCGTCGACACACACAAATTTGAGTTGACACTCTATTTATTTTCGTCTAACGGACTGAATATTAAATAAATCTTATCGTCAGCCCAGTAGACGAAAATAAATAAATATGTTGTTTAATAACTAAACAGAGCGTCTATCACGGGTACCCACTAAAAATAACAAAACACACGCCTTTCTTTATCTTTCTCTCTCTCTCTCCCTAACTATCTATTCACACACACACACAATATATATATATATATATATATATATATATATATATATATATATATATATCAGGTCATCCCATAAGTTCTGTCCGAATTTTAACTTTTTGTTAAAATGAAAGAAATTTAAAGAGTATTTTATAATGTCTCATGGAGCTGAAAATTTTTATGTTTAGATGCATTTAAACTGATCAGATTTTATTTCAGTGAACAATAAAATTAAATTTTGTTTGATTACAAAACTGCTAACATGGAAGTATCCAAGAATCATTTATGCTTTATGAGTTCAAGAAAGGAAACTCAGCAGCCGAAGCGGCTAGAAACATTCACTCAATTTATGGAGAGGGATGTGTGAATGAAAGAACTTGCAGAAGATAGTTT